GGGGTGCGGAGCAGCAGCTCAGTTGCCCTGTGGGCTCAGGGGTGAAGACAGGGGTCTCAGCTGCGCTCTGTCCTGATGACAATGGAGAGCTGCCTGTCCATCTTCTCTCTCGCTGTCCTGGTGCTGCACAGCTCAGCCAGTAAGTGTCCAGTCTTCTCCTATCATGTCCAGTCATTAACTGCTCTCCTGTCCAGACAGAAAACAACTGGAATTAAAGTTAAGATGGGAAAGAAGACTAAGAAGTGAGCTGAAAAATTATTAATGTTTTGTTTTAATTCAGCTATGTGGGTATTTTTTTACAAGTATTACAACTTTTTTTTTCTTGGTCTGCAAGTGAGTAAAAATAATTGGTTGCTTAAAACTGTTTTAGTTTGAAATCTTTGTATTTAATTTTTAATTAAACTCTACATGATTTTAAAATATTATTTAAATTATAAATATATCGTTATTAAGTTTATAATTCATTTTATTCGGGTTTTATAACTCAAGGAAAAAAACAATTAATTTCATTTAAAAAAGCTCTGATATTAATAATAATTTAATGTCCATCAATGTACAATTAATCAAAAGGTTATAGTTTAAGCAACGAAGTAGAAGTACTGATTAAATTGAAAATGAGCTTTGGTGGAGAGATTTTATTTTAAATGGGTTTGCAATTTCAGAAATAAAATAATAATCTACAGTAATTTTATTCAAATATAGAATTAATAATATGTACACCATGGATGTTACATGTACTAGACTCATATCTCCAGTATACTTGTCAGTTAACTACATATTAACAGATTATTAATACGCAGTTTATACAGATTTGTAAACTACTGTATATGCCATATATGTGTCAGGTTGGGTCAGGATTGGACTATTTTCCGCCACCATGTTAACCATCTACAATAGAGGCTGGTCATTTTCACCCTCTATTTATAATTTATGAAAATATTGTGTGTATAAAATCGTTGAATTCTTTTTTACAATTCCTAATCTGTTGCTGTTATATTATAATGAAATTCTTCATACATCAGCAGCAATTTGAGTGATTTGCTGGAACATGTGAGAAATTCTTCGTTTACGTGAAAACAGAAGAAGTGCGAGCAAAAAAGAAAAATGTCTCTACAATAATATAACACAGGGTGTTTCAGGAATAATTTACCTGGATTGTTTACTGTTTTATTGTCACACAAGTTGATTCTGAAATATTTACCTTGTTTTTTATTGTTTTGTTGTTTTATATTCCTCAGCTCTGTCTCATGTATATGGTATTATTACAAACTGGTCAATTAACAGAGATTAGAGTGTTACTAAAAACTGGAGTATTATTGAGACACTGATATATTATTATTATAACAGCCTGTTGTATTAATAAAAATATTAATATTAATTTTATTATTATTAAGGATGGATGTAGATATACAGATATACAGTAAGTGTGAGACTAAAGTGTTTATGCTAGAGAGACTGCAGTTTTAATGCTGCCATTATGTCTCTTGTTTTCAGACATTGAAGAGGCATGCTATACTGTAAATGTCACATTCTCTACCAGTGTAGAAGTTAGAAAATTAGTAATTTAATATCAGTTGTGAAAATTGTAAGTATTGCTGGTGTACTATTAGCCACTCGGGTGTAATTAGAAACTGAGGTGTAACAGCAATAATGTAACAGCTACATGGCATTGTGGCTTTACAACAACAACAAAAAAAAATAGAAGTTGTGGTTTATGTTTATACAGGATTTGACTGCTATTTCACAGCTAAATCATTTAATGTGTGTTTAGATTTTGTCTTTTGGGCTTACTTTTGTATATAGTGAAGGTTAAATAAGAATGTTTTATTTTATTTGTTCTGTGTTCATTAGAAATGTATAATAAAATGCAAGTACTTAGGTATGGGTATACACAATAAATATTTAATTACATAATATCATATGATTTACATTTAGATTTAAATATGTGACAATCACATAGAGATTCATAAGCAGTTGCTATATTGAGCAGTGTCCAAAACACAGGGACACAGTCATTACAGCAACTATACACTGTATTGACCAGAGCACAAATATCAAGGGAACACAGTCACTGTGGCTGCCGTCACATCATCCAGGTGGGGCTACACACTGGTGGTGGAATGGAGTCCCTAAATCCTGTAAAGCACTTTGAGTGGAGTGTCCAGAAAAGTGCAATATAAGTAAAATAAGTGAAGGAATTATTTTTATTAAAAAAACACACATAAATCCAAGTCCTCTGAAGACACGGTCATTACAGACACTGTCCACTTTGGTAACCACAGCTCACATAAAAAATAAAGGATCACAAGTCCCAGCCCTCTGAAGTCAAAAAAGCCATTAAAGCCATTTACCACTGAAGTGACAACAGCTCCCAGAAACCCAAGAATGCAGTAATCAGTCACAATAGTGACCAAAGCCTACTAAAAAAAAAACAGAAACACAAGTCTCAGCCCCCTGAACTCATAGTCATTACAGGCACTGTCCACTGTGGTGACAAGATCCAGGAAGTCAGTCATTGCACTGTCCATTGTACTGACCACAGCATTAAGAAACAGAAGTCCCAGCCCTGTGAATTCATACAGTGATTAAACCCACTGTCCACCTTTGAGACCACATCTTCCTGAAACACTTAAACAAACTCCCAACTGTCTGAAATCATACAGTCATTACAGCCACTGTCCACTGTGGTAATAATAGATCCCAAATACCCAATAACACAAGTCCCAGCCCTTTGGCATCATAAAGTCATTATAACCACTGACCACTGCAGTGACCACAGCTCCCAGAAATACAGGAATACAGGAATACAGGAAGTCCCAGGCTTCTGATGTCCTACAGGCATTACTGTCAATGTCTGCTGTCATGACAACATCTTCTGGATTATAGAAAAAATAAAGCAATATTTCCATGTGTTCATATATATTATTCAACCTTTCAATGACATTAGTTGGGTGAGTCAGTGTCTGTACTAATCAGTCTATGTCTCTTTCTGGAAACTGACATATTAGATTCTATCAATGTCTATCAATGTCTCTCTATCTCTATAGACACTGGGTTATTAAGATACTGTCAGTTTGTGTATTAATCAGTCTGTGTCTCTCTCTACAGACACTGGGTTATTAGAGACTGTCACTGCGTGTATTAATCAGTCTGTGTGTCTCTCACCAGACACTGAATTATTAGATACTGTCAGTGTGTGTATTAATCAGTCACTCTCTCTCTGCAGGCAGGTCTGATGTGCGGCTGGTGAATGGTGCCAGTCCCTGTGAGGGGACAGTGGAGTTGTATCATGATGGGGAGTGGGGGACAGTAGCTCAAGGTGACTGGGATCTCAATGATGCTGCAGTGGTGTGCAGACAGCTTGGCTGTGGATTTGCTGTTTCAGCACCAAGTGGAGCTCATTTTGGACCAGGGTCTGGATCAGTCCTGCTTAATAACATCTCCTGCAGTGGGTCAGAGTCTGCATTGAGAGACTGTGTATCAAGTTCAGATAATAACTCCAATGAATTCATCAATGAATATGAAGATCAATATACATATGACTATGACAATGGTGCTGGAGTAATCTGTTCAGGTATCTGTCATCTAAAATCTGAATATTCATGTATGATATGATTTACATTAGAATTGCAATTATACCATAACAATAAGATACTGAAAAAAAATAAGAAAGAGCACACAATGTTTCGGCCGTGGAACCTTCTTCAGGTGTGTCACACCTGAAGAAGGCTCCACGGCCAAAACATTGTGTTCTCTTTCTTCTTTTTTTTCAGCATGGAATAAACCTATTACTTGTTCCATTGCAGCCTACGCATGCTGACGCAGCTACCCACCTGAACTATAACAATAACATATACTAACAATAACAAATAATAGTCACTAATATGAGAGGTATTTTCTGCCTATCTTGCCTTTTAATTTCTTCAAATGGTTACTTAATTCAAGATGTCTTGCTCTCTTCCAGACATTTCTTGACAGTTACAAGATTATCAGTATCAGCTTTAGTACAATGGTTTGCTTGTTCCATGTGTTGTTCAGAGTAAACTATTGGTCATTTTTTAAATATTCCCAAGTTGCATAAAGTTTGCAATTTATACCCATATAATTTGCATGGAACGTCAGAGTTGTTACCTTCCTTAGCTAGGACCCTTTTGAATCTCCAAAAATTATCGTCTACTCAATTCCATGGTGACATCTCACAACAGACATCATATTTTTGGTGTATGCCATAGTGTTGTTCTGGAGAGGAGTCACCAGAGACTTTGAAGACCAGCTGGTTGACAGACTCGGTCCTGGTTGAGGTAGATAGTTTCAGGACCGGCTGACTGAGGGGCTCTGTCCTGTTCAATGTGGACACTTTCAGGGTCAACCGAAGGTCTTTGTGGACATTGTGGACAGTTTCAGAACCAGCTAACTGAGGGACTCTGTCCTTGTCAGTGTGGACAGTTTCAAGACAAGCTCAAGACAGTGATCTGTTACTCTATTCGGATATTCCAGCTCATGGAGGGCTCAGACTGGTCAGGGACAGTGATCTCTGTTATTGTTCTGATATTCCAGCTCATGGAGGGCTCAGACTGGTCAGGGACAGTGATCTCTGTTATTGTTCTGATATTCCAGCTCATCGAGGGGTCAGACTGGTTGAGGGCATTGGTCTCTGCTCTGGAAGAGTGGAAGTGCAGCACGGAGAGACGTGGGGGTCAGTGTGTGACTCTGACTTCGACTGGCAGGACGCAGAAGTTGTCTGTAGACAGTTGGACTGTGGGGTTCCCTCACAGGTGCTGAAAGGGGCTCATTTCGAGAAGGGGGAAGGACAGGTCTGGAAAGAGGAGCTCCAGTGCCAGGGCAACGAATCTCAAATTTTCTCCTGTCCAAAGTCATCCACGAAATCACAGAACTGCACCCATGAGAACAACGTGGGACTAAAGTGTTTTGGTAAGAACAGGAAAAAATGTGTATTTTTTAGTGTAGCTCTGAGTTGAAATTACAGTAGTTTCACAGAGACAATCCTCAGCTCCCACCAGTCACCTGCTCATTTTGGTACAAACCTGCAGCCCATCCTTCCCAGCAGTCTTTGCTCTAGGGCCCCTCCCCTGACTCAATGTCAATACAGCAGGGACAGCAGCCCTGTGTCTTTTAATACAACAACAGGCTGTGCTGCCTCAGGCCAAAAGAGATTCAGACAAACATGTCTTAACTGCATGGATCGCAAGTCTTTACAGATTTTAGATTATCAGTGTAGGGGTTTTGTGCATTTACTGGGACAATTATTAATTGTAGCAGTAAGTCACAAAATCATTATTTGATGGCTATTAGAAAACCGACCTCGTGGGATAACTCAGCAACGCACACACACTGATACTAATACATGACAATACATTTATTAATACATGAAATGTTATTATAAACATAACAGATTTTATAGTGAGTATTACCATAATACAAAAGGTATTGTTCAATCACGAAGAGTTACAGACAAAGAGAGACATACATTCAGTATACCATTCATTTATACTGTTTCCTTAATGAGCTATGATTACAACTTCAACACTAGATACTCAAAAGCAAGTACGTCACTCATAGGAATTAAATTGATATCAACTGGGGTTGAGGTACTGTAACAATTGAATTCTCGAGCTGTAATGCAGAATGTTGAATACTCATCAAATCTGTGTGGATTCAGATCTCCCGTGGACACAAGGGAACAGCGACAGGCTGTTGCTGCATCCAATCTGCGTCCTCTGGCCCGGTTCCAGCCAGTGCTGGTCCGGTGTGAGGTGTGGGAGGAGGGAGAGATTCCTGCTGCGATTCTGGCAGTGGGCTCTCTGAAGGCTGGCTAGTTAGACCTGGCAGAACTAGAAGAGTTTGTGCACATGAAAAGTGACTGCAGGTCCAAGCAAGTCACACTCTTTAGATGGGAAGAAGACCGGTTTGTCCCAATGTAGCGCTGGTCCTGAATACTGAGATTCAGCTGTTGACAGTTCCAACCGTAGTTCACTCGTTGATCAGGCGAGCGTTCGCGGTGGGGTACCGCAGTTCACGAGGCTGTCAGCTGGGCTAACCTCAGGAGGATCCTTTGATTACGCGCGGGTGACCTCCGTTCTCGACTCTAACAAAGTAAAGCCCTGGCACTCGGACACACTGGCTGTCATGTGATTGTTCGAGCTGACTCTTAGAATGTCCTGGAAGGGCACCTTCTGGGCGTTGTGCTGCCTGTTTTATCTGGAGAAACTACAGTCTCTCATTGGTTGAAGGTTCTGTGGGCATTCGAGACCCACGTGGGGTTACCCTGCCCTACCAGTTCCTGATTGGCTGATTGAGGTGGAGGATGAGTAACTATGCTCTCTGACATTAGGGTTGTAAACAACCTGGGATGAGACTCTCCCTTGGAATCTCCCAGACAGTAAGGCACCAGAGATGACCATTTGTTAAGGTGGCTGGTGAATCTCAGCCTTGGGAGCTGTTCCTTATCAGGAAACTCTATCAGCTAGAAAAACACCTTAAATGTGAACCAGGTGGGATGGCATCTCTGTGTCCAGCACCACTGAGGTGAGAGACAGAGGGACTGGCAAGGGAGCAGCAAACTTAATTCCTGTATTTTTAATAAGCCTTGCCGCTACATCAGGTTTCATCTATATTCATCTATATAACGTTTATTTCACAATTCCACTTATATTAATAGTTCTGCCTAATTAAAATATCAAGAAATTGTTAAATAATTATTAAATAACTTAATTATCTGATACTAGTAAAAATATTTAAAAATCAGACCTCTGGAACTTAACTCTGTATATGTGAAAGAAAACAATCCTGCCCACATGGTACAGACTATCCATCTGTTCTGATTCCGTTTGTGTCAGAGAGATCTCTGTCACCTCCCATGGGCAGCACTTCACATCACAAACCTAAAAAACAGCATTAACTGACTCAAATTATTCACAGATCCATACATTCATTTTCCTGTCAGCTGGCTAGCTTGAGAGGGTGCACACTGTTTCAGACATGCATTAACACAACCATGTTTTACCCTCAATCAGTTCCTGGTGTTTGTAAAGAAATCAGACACGCACACTCAAGCATAACATTACATGTAGATCTTTATTTGTACATATCTGTGTGAAAAAGAGTCCCCTGTCTGCCTGTTTGTCAGTCCTTTCCCTGTTGTGGTTTCTTGCTGCATGTCCTGAGCTGTCAGACCCTGGTGATACATGTGAAAAGCATGCGCACATCTCCTGGGAAAGGAAGCACCATTTCAGTAAATATGGTTGGAGGGGAAAGAATTTTACTCAAGAAAATTAGCAGTTTTTTTTCTGACATTATATGTATTTTCTATTGTTTAATGATTATAAATGGATTGTTATGGGTCCATTTTCTGTGAAATACATATACATATAGCTTTGTCAAAACAATCCATCACTTCTGCACCTGAGTAATTGCTGCTGAGCCTTTATTTTGTGCTTGAGGACACAGAGCTCACTTTGGCATTCCCTCCCACCCTCCCTGTGACACCAGGGCAGTTCTGCCCTCTCCCCTCTGGCTCGGGGTCACAGGTCAGTGACAAGACTTGAGTGTGACCTGAGTTCAGGTCTTAAACAGTGAATGACTAAATCCACTTGGAGATTTATGCACACCTCTGTGAGACCATTGAAGAGAAAAGAACAGAAATATCACTTCACTAGGAATAAAGTGTCCTGAAAGGACTATGGAGTGATTAGTGAAAATTTAGCTTAATTTTCAAAAGTCAAAAGTCAGAAGCTTTTTAAAGATTCAAAGACTCAGTTCAGAATGTTAGAGATCATGGACACTCTCATACAGCAGTCACTGTCATTGTGAGGCTCTATAAAGACTCGGTTAACAATGTGCGAGATCATGGATAGTTCCACACAGCCATGTTTAGAATGTGACACACCTGAAGAAGGCTCCACGGACGAAACATTGTGTTTTCTTTCTTTTTTTCAGCATGGAATAAACCTATTACTTGTTCCTTTGCAGCCTACGCATGCTGACGCATCTACCCACCTGAACTACTATGTTTAGAATGTTCACATTAAAATGAATCACACAAATCAACAGGACCAGCTCCCATCGATGACTGTTGCTATAACTCAGTGTATCAGTACTGTGGATTCATGCCAAACCATGACACTTTACTAGAACAGCCTCATGATCAACAGTAACATATTAGTGAGGTATCTAAAAATCAAGTTTGTAAATATCCTTGAAGGTGCAATTCAGGGTTATTGCTGGTTGTTGTGCTGTGAAGTTGTGTGTCTGCTCTATCTCCCTTTGTCCTGTCTGCAGGATACACAGGGTTCAGGCTGGTGAACGGCTCGGACTCCTGCTCTGGCCAAGTGGAGTTACAGTCCCTCTTTGGGGACTGGGGGACAGTGTGTGACCTGTACTGGGACCTGAGAGATGCCAGTGTTCTCTGCCAGCAGCTGGGCTGTGGGGAGGCTGTAGCAGCACCAGGACAGGCCTGGTTTGGACAGGGCAGTGGACCAGTAAGGGCTGATGTGTTTGAGTGCCGGGGCAATGAGAGTCGTCTCTCACACTGCGCTGTCTCTTCATGGGGGAGTGCAGGATGCTCTCATGGACAGGAAGCAGGAGTCATCTGCTCTGGTGAGAATTGTGCATTTAAAACACAGTGACACCCCCTCTGCTTACACACAGCAGCACACTGTCTTCATGATTGACTGAAGGACTTCTCTTTTACACGCTACCAGTTAAAGGACAGAGATGCACAAATACAATTCTTAATGTATTTCAGTGTATTTACATCTTTAAAGATGTTAACTCCTACCAATGATGTGATGATCTGCACATATGGAGAAGGTGTGGATGCTTTCATTACACGCAAATTGTAGAGAAGCTTTTGACACACTATAAATGTTACACTTACATTAATCTGTTTCTCCTTTAAACTCAATTTGTTCTATGAATTCAGTTTGGAAAGAGTGATGAGAAAATTCCCCAAATCATTCATATAAGACAATTATTTTTAGTCTCTAATTTGCACAGCCTTTGTTACGCATTCCACTCGCGCCGCTCTTCCTTCTTGCATTCCCACGCGCACACCCTGTAAGACAAGCTCACGCCGCAAGTAAACGCCAATCACCTTTCTCTCCCGTCTCTATTTTAGTTCTCCTTTTTCCTCACTTCCCCACTCACTATTGCGGATTCTCTTCGAGCTCCCTAGTGCGCATTTACCTCTTGCTTCTCTCCGGTTTTCGATCTCCTAGCCTGCTGTTCGTTTTCAGTTTCGCCTTGTGATTTGGATTGTTGCTTCCTCCTTGTCTCTCTGTGTTCCGACCTACTCACCTGCCTCCTGGTTTTCATTTTTGCCTAGCATATCTGCTTAGTGTCTTTCTCTTGTCTTGAGTCCTTCATAGGATCCTATTGCCCTAGCAGCCCTATCTTACAGCCTTGACATGATGAAACGAAATCCTCTGGAAGTATCAGTGTATTCAGATATTCAGTAGTGCATTGAAAACAAGGTGTACATGGCTGCTTACTGTACATAGCAGAGGTTGTTAATATTTTCACCATTAAGTTATAAAATCACCAATAAAACCATTCTTGCTTGATGGTAGTCACTCAATGTGATAAATAATCACACAAATGAGTGAAATACAATATTCAAACAACATTTTGCTGTATAACTGTTAATCTTAAAAAACAATACTTTCTGATGTAGAAAGTGGGGAAATATCAAGTTAATTTTACCTGAAGATTGTATTGTTCTTGTAAGCTGCAATAAAACAAGTATAATCAATAAGTTGTGAACATGTCATTGTTCAAGATGATTCCTCTCATGTATGAATGCAGGTCAGCATTTAAAACATCTATGGATCAGCTTTCTGGTAATGATGTGCAGTTGACCAAAACTTAATGATTTTTACAGGTTCATCCCTGTCAGCTCTAGACGGTGGAGTCCGGCTGTCAGGAGGAGAGAGTCACTGTGATGGCCAAGTGGAGGTTCACTACAACAGCACCTGGGGGAGACTCCTCCAGCACTCCTGGGGCTACAGAGAGGCCTCTGTGGTCTGCAGACAGCTGGGCTGTGGCTCTGTAGTGCTAATATACAACTCCTCTCTGTATGAGACAGGTGACAGTGCACTGTGTCTGACAGGTATTCAGTGCTCTGTAGTACAAGTCTATAACTCCTCTCTGT